CAAAAGGACAGAATCCTCCAAAATTCATTTTATGAAGTCTCCATCGCACTCATTCTCAAAACAGATTAAGACATGACAAAAAAGGAAAACTACAGACCAATATATCTGATGAATATAGATGCGAAATTTCTCAACAAGATACTAGCAAATCATATCCAACAACATATGAAAAAAATTATTCATCACGATCAGGTAAACTTTATTCCAGGGATGCATATGTTGACGTTCAACATATGCAAAACCATAATGGCTTCACTTCTGAATTCTACAAAACTTTTACCCCCATTCTACTTAAATTATTTCTAAAGACCCAAAAGGACAGAATCCTCCAAAATTCATTTTATGAAGTCTCCATCGCACTCATTCTCAGAACAGATTAAGACATGACAAAAAAGGAAAACTACAGACCAATATATCTGATGAATATAGATGCGAAATTTCTCAACAAGATACTAGCAAATCATATCCAACAACATATGAAAAAAATTATTCATCACGATCAGGTAAACTTTATTCCAGGGATGCATATGTTGACGTTCAACATATGCAAAACCATAATCATAATACACCATATTAACAGAAAGAAATATTTTTAAATGATCATTTTAATCTATGCAGACAAAGCATTGGACAAAATACAATATCTTTTCATGATTAAGAATTTTAGCAAAGTCAGCATAGAAGGGTCATTTCTCAACACAATAAAAGCCATCTCTGAAAAACCTATAGCTAACATTATACTAAATGGGGAAAAAACTGAAAGATTTTCCACTAAAATCTGATATAAAACAAGGCTGCCCACTTTCTCCACTTCTTTTCAATACAGTGCTGAAAGTCCTAACCAATGCAATTAGAAAAGGCAAAAAAGAGTTGAAAATATCTCTATTTTCAGATGACATGATACTATACAAAGAAGACCCAAAAGTATCCATGAAAAAACTTCTTGAATTACTAAGTGAATACACTAAAGTGGCAGGATATAAAATCAACATCCAAAAATATATAGCATTTCTATATACGAACAACAAGCTGGTCAAGGTAGAACTGACGAAAGTAATACCTTTACCATAAAATGTATAAGATACCTAAGGATAAATCTAACCAAGGAAGTCCTCTACAAGGAAAACTATAAAAGTCTTTAAAAAGATATTGAAAAAGACACAAAAAAGTGGAAGAACATCCCATGTTCCTGGATTGGAAAATTAACATAATCAAAATGGCAATTTTACCCAAATTAGTCTACATATTTAACACAATTTCTATCAAATTACCAGAGATATTCTTCACAGATCTAGAAAAAACAATCATAGAATTTATCATGAATCATAAAAGACCCCATATTGCCAAAGCAATCCTGTGTTAAGAAGAATGGAGTGGATGTCATCTCATTCTCTGACACCAAAATATATTATAAAGCTTAGTATTGGCACAAAAACAAACACGTTGACCAATAGGACAGAATAGAGACCCCAAAAATAAACCCCAAAACAAACAGCCAACCTTTTTTGACAAAGCGTACCAGTCAATCCAGTGGGAAAAGAAAAAACCTCTTTAGCAAATGCTGCTGAAAAAACTGAGTATTGGGAACCAGCAGGTAGCGTAATGGCTATGTCGCTGGACTCCCACTTAGTCGACCGTGGCTCGCGTCCCAGACCGGTGGCTTAAAACTCACGCCGGGCGCATATACGTGCATGCCCAGGATCCCAAGAAGAGAATGGAGGAGAAGGGATTGTGGTGTGACCATCCCCCCTGGGGGGTGATTTCTCGCTTTCTGTCTCTATGTCTCTCTCTGTCTGGCTGGCAAGCGCACGTGCCCTATAGCGAAACTCTCTCAAAACAAAAAAAAAACTGAGTATCCACCTGGAGAAAGATGAAACTAGACCCCTATCTTTCACCATTAACAAAAATCAACTCAAAATGGATCAAAGATCAGAACCTAAGAACTCAAACTGTAAAACTACTGGTGGAAAACACTGGGAAAACTCTCGGAGACATTGGGGTAGGGAATAGGGAAAGTCTTCTTAAATAAGTCCCCCAAAGTGTAGGCAATAATCCCCAAAATAGAAAAGTGGAATTACATTTGATTAAGAAGTTTCTGCACAGCAAAAGGCACAGTAACGGTTGTGAATCAGCAACTCTTGGAATAAGACAATATTTTTTAAACTATCCCTCAGATAAGGGACAGATAACCAGAATACACAGGGAATTCAAGAGGCTACCCACCCAAAAATAATTAACACAATTAAAAAATGGGAAAATGAGCTGAAGGACAAAGAACTCTCTAAGGGAGACATATGAACAACTAAAAATCATATGAGGAAATGCTCTACATACCTCATCATAAGAGAGATGCAGATCAAAAGTGCAGTGAAATACTACCTAACTCCAGTCAGAACAGCGAAGATTAAAAATACAAAAGATTAGTGTTGGTGGGGCTGTGATGAAAGGGGAACTCTCCTACACTGCTGGTGGGGATGTAAATTGGTCTGGCCACTGTGAAGAACAATATGGAGTTCCTCAAAGACCTCCAAATAGAACTACAATATGACCCAGCAATTCCACTCCTGGGGATCTACCCAAAGGGCCGGAGAATGTTCAGTCAGAAAAGCGCTCACACATCCATGTTTATTGCAGCATTGTTCACAATTACTAAGTCATGGAATCAACCCAAATTTCCATGAACAGATGAATGGATTGTAAAAGTGTGGCACATATACTCCATGGAATACTATTCAGCCATTAAAAAAATAAATAAAACGAGACTGGCATTTGATATAAAGTGAATGAATATGGAATATTTATTGTAAGTGAAGCAATTCAGGCTATGAAAGAGAGACATTGTACATCTCCACTTAACATATACTTACAGTCTATACTCCATGATAGAGACTGAAAGATTGGAGGATATAAAAGCATTGAAAATAGCTATGGATACTGGAGACAGTGTGGGAGGAAGGTGGGAGAGGGGGAGAGCATAGGGAGGGAAATTAGGGAAAAAAAATAGAGACAAGACATTTATGGGACACAGAAATGGCTTATTACCTGTTAATGACAACGTGAATCGCATCCTCAACTGGACTGAAGTGAAGTATAGTTCCTGTTGGGTAAATTCACTTTGCAAACTAAGTGGTGTATAGTGATTCAATGTATTAAATTTAATTTAATTTTAAAATTGTTTAAGTATTTCATAGTATATATGTGCCACACTTTTTCAATCCAGTTATCCATTCTTGGGAACTTAAGTTGATACCATGTCTTAGCAATTGTGAATAATGTTGCAATAAACATGAATGTGCAAGTATCTTTCCAACTGAGTGTTCTCCTGTCCTTTGGGTAGATGCCCAGGAGTGGAATTACTGGGCCATATGGAAGTTCTATTTATATGTCTTTGAGGAACCTCCACATTGTTCCCCACAGCAAATACACTAATTTACATTCCCATCAACAGTGTAGGAGGATTCCCCTTTCACAACAGCCTACCACCTGGTGTTCCTTTTTGTTTTATTATTATTATTAGTTAGATTTTGCCCTAGAGTGTTTGTGCTTGCCAGAGAGATGCAGAAAGAGATAAAGAGAGGGAAAGTGATAAATCACTCCCCTCCTTGGGAGAATGGCCACACCATAATCCCTTCTACTCTATTCTCCTCTCAGGATTTTGGGTACACATGCACACATTCCCAGAATGTTTCTTAAGCTACCAGGTCTGGGATCCAACTGTGTTCAGTCATGTGAGTCTATCACCTTAACCCATGCCACCTGCTAGTCCCTGTTCTATATTTTTTTCAATTTTAGCCATTTTGACTAGACTTAAGTGATATCTCAGTGTGGTTTTGATTTACATTTCCCTTATGATAAGAGACATTGAACATTTTTTATATGCCTTTTGATCACTTGTATGTCCTCCCTTGAAAATTGTCTGTTCAACTCATTTGTCCTTGTTTTTTACTGGATTTTTCTTTTTTTTTTTTTTGTGAGTACACTGCTTGAGTTCCCTATACATTCTGGTTATCCGTCCCTTATCTGTAGTGAAGTTTGCAAATATTCTCTCCCATTCTGAGGGTTGTCTCTTCATTCTAGTTATTGTGACCTTCGCTGTGTAGAAGCTTTTTAGCCTGAAGTAGTACATTTGTCTCTTTGGGGGATTATCATCTGTGTTTAGGGGTCTTACTTAAGAAATCTTTGCCTACTCGATTCTCTCCAAGACTTTCCCTTATGTTTTCCATCAGCAGTTTTATAGTTTGAGCCTTTATGTTTAGATTTTTTTATCCATTTTGAGTTGAATTTTATTAATGATGAGAGATAGGGGCCTAGTTTCATTTTTCTGCAGGTGGATACCCAGTTTTTCCAGCAGCATTTGCTGAAAAGACTTTATTTTTCCCATTGGATTGACTTCTGCCCTTGTCAAAGATCAGTTGGTGTGTTTGGGGGTTTATTTCTGGATTCTCTAGTCTGTTCCATTGGTCTACATGCCTGTTATTCTGCCACTACCAGACTGTTTTAACTATTACAGCTCTGTAATATATTTTAGAGTCAAATACTGATATGCCTCTTACTTTATTCTTTTTACAGAGTACTGCCTTGGCAATACAGGGTCTTTTATGATTCCAGACAAATTTTGTGAGTGTTTTTTCTGTCTGTGAAGAATGTCTCTGGTAATTTGATTGGAATTGCATTGAATTTGTATATCAGTTTAGGGAAACTAGACATTTTGATTATATTATACTTCTTCAAACATATCACAAGTTGCAGAGAATCACCCACAGAGTGAGCAAAGGGATTGTGGTGTGACCATATCCAGTGGAGGAGGGCTCACTCTCAGAAGCTCACTTGCTTCTGTTATTGGTTTCCAGGCAGGGGGAAAAATCAGAATATAAATCTTTCGTCCTTTATTACAGGCCCACTGCAAATACAGTGGCTCTGTTAAACAATTGAGAAAGTAAGAGAGTCCCTCAAACATGCACCGCCATTTTCATAGGGAAAAAACAAAATAACAAACATAGTTTGTGTTCGGATCATTTCGTTTCCTTTATTTTGCTTGGATAAGATTGGAAGTCTCGAAGGCCAGTCTTTAGCACAGTCAGACCATATAGTTTGTCAATTCTGTGTTTACACCATCTGCGTATCCACATTCCTCCCAAAACCAAGAGGACCAGTGAGAGGGGCGCCAGCGCGATCTTCCAGGAGAACGTGAAGGAGGCTGTGGGGAGAGCAGAGGCACGTCAGAGCCCCGGAAACAGGGTGGGGTGGGCACATGACCATGAAGGAGGCCGTTGGCGTCTGCTCCATCCAATTAGTGTGCTGTGATTTCCTGAAACCACATCCCTCGCACCAAGATTGAGGGTGTCTGAGAATGACCTCTGGCCAGTAGAGAAATGAGCAAGGCAAAACAAAAATCGATTAGGCAAAAAATCAGAAATGGGGCAGGTGCAGAGGCTCTAGCTTTGTCCCGCCAGGAGGATGGTGACTACCTGCCTTTACCAATGAACACAGGTGTTATGACGATTAAACAACATAACAAAGGAGGAGAAAAGAAAGCGTGAATAAAGGAACTTTAGGTGCTGAGATTATTAGACAGCTTGGATCCACCTACTAATATTTGTATATCCTATCCGTTGGCACCTCTGTGTCGTGGGAATATAGAAGGTGACTGTGAATGAAAGTGAAAACTAACTATGAGCACAAAGTGCTACTGGACACATTGTTGATGAGGCCAGAGCTGCACATTTGGAAGATATTGTTAGCCAGTTTGTTCAGGCATCCAGGAACCAACACCTCAGCGTGTTTCTCCAGAGGCGTCTACACCTTAAAACCCCACGAGGATTGGTGGGGCCAGCTCTGTGGCACCGCAGTAATGCACTGCTCAGAAGACAGATCCCAGGCCTGGCTGTCTTGAAACACCACGTGAAACCCAAAATCTGATGGGTTGGAGAACTGAAGAAAAGGGGTTATAGCATGACCAGACCCCGTGAAGAGTGTTCTCTCTCATTCTTATGTGCACACGCATGTGCTCTCTCATGAATAATGGGGGGGGGTGATTATTTTTGTAGAGAAGGTTAGTCAAGCTGTTTGAAAGCACCTTTCAATTCTTGTGCTAGGCTTCCAGCCTCCTCTCTTTGGAATCGACCCTGGCCAGCCCAGCAAAGGATATGCAGGGACAGGGCCTATGTGAGGGGAGATTTTAAAGGTTTCCGGAACTAGGGTCAGAGAAACCACAGGTTCCTTTGGCTCCTCTGTTTCCAGATGGACGTAACTGTCACCCCTCCCTGACTGCACGCCACCCTCTGCACAGACACCCTCGCTCTGCGACTTCCGAACAGGAGCCTGTAACGTCGCGATGTTGGACTTCTCCCAGGAGAATTGACTGTGCAGACCTGGGTGAGCACAGGGGTCTGCATTTTTAACTAGAGGTTCTGGTGGGAGCACAGCGGAAGCAAAGTTGTGCTGAGTGCCACTTCCTGCCTGAGGACGTTCTTGATCCAGTCGCCACCTTTCCAACTTAAACGTGTCTCTAGCTGCCTCCTAGCAAAACACAAGATGTGGAGCAATTTGTGTTTTGTGTTTTTGCAATTTATTTGACTGCCGCGAGATTACCCAGAAGGCACCACTGAAACTCCATCTGGGAATCACTTGAACTTGTCCACCGTCACCTTCTGGCATGGTCAACAGAGCTTACATACCTGTGCCTCCACTTCCTGCTCAAAGACGAGATACTGGGAGGCAATCAACTGGGTCGAAAATGACAACTTGGGTTTTTCTTTTCTTCTTTGTAAAACGTGCTTAAATGGACACTGGGTGATTTGGTTACAGCCTCATATTTACTTCCTGTTGGCTAATGACTGACCCTGGGTATCGCCCGCTCCCCAGGTGACATTTCCAAACCTCTGGATTAGAGTGAGCCACACTCCTCCAGAGTGCTGTGAGCACAGCGGATCCTGGTGACCGAAGGCAGAACCATGTGAGGACACGGGGCTTCTAAAAGTTTACTGCAGATGGGACCAGCAGTTAGCGTAATGGTTATGTTGCTGGACTCCCACATAGTCAACTGTGGTTCGAGTCCCAGACCCGGTGGCTTAAAACTCATGCCAGGCGTGTGTGCGTGCGTGCCCAAAATCCCGAGAGGAGAATGGAGAAGGGATTGTGGTGTGACCATCCCCCCTGGGGGGTGATTTCTCATTTTCTGTCTCTGTCTGTCTGTCTGGCGGGCGCACGCACCCTATAGCAAAAACCTCTCAAAAAAAAAAAAAAAAGTTTACTGCAGAATCATTTTATTTATTTTCCAAAAATCAGCTTGCTATATTTAACTCTTTTATTTGAGTATAATCTCCCAAAGTCCAGCCTTCATACTAACAAAGAAAAAGCCTTTAAAAATGGGAGGCTTGCTTTCAGCCCTCCACTAGGAGACATCGGAGGGGCTCCTAAGAAATCGTCTGAGTACAAGCACCCACAGAACATTCGATGTGTTGCTTTTTCCCCGGTGTCCCCAAAATACATACCTTCTTCGACTTTGGTGTGCAGCGTCTGTGAACTCAGTGAATTACGGGCAGAGCATTTAAAATCTGTGTTCAAATCTTCTCTTACGACTGGATCAAAAATCAAGGGCAGTTCGATGTAGTTCTCGTTATTTTCTGAATATTCCCTGAGGGACAAAACCAGCAGTTAAATGTGGCTTATCACACGCAGGCCTGTCTTTCACAGCGTGGACATCTGGACATTCTCAGTCTGAAGCAGCCCTCGTGCTGAGATTGGCTTCTCGTGTCCTAAAGGTCGGAGCACTTGGACTGTATTTGCGACCTATTTGGGAGAATGTCTAAGCCTGAAGTGCAAGGTCCAAGTGTCAACGAAGACGTTGGTCACTGCCAACAGGACACTTGCTACAAGATGAGCTAGCAGGAGTCAGTTTGGTTTGGTTTGGCTCACGGAAACCTTCATTTTTAAGGTCTTGGATGAACGAAGAACCAGTAGTGGGCATGCAAACATCTAGCTGGAAACCCGACTCCCCCACCAATGAATCATTGGCTTATTGAAAGACAAGCTGTTTCGGATTCCGGTCTTCCGCGGCATCTCCTCTTCTCATCTCGCTGGCTGATTCACACTCTGTAAACTCAGATCCTGACCAGAGGCTGCACCACCCAGAGGAGCAGCTCACCTGAGAGAGCTGCCACAGTGAGGTCAAAGAAGCTGAAGACTTCGCCACTCTCTATTACTATGAACTAATCGTCGAAGCCAGCCGTGGCAGTGCAGCAGTAACACAAGGGTCTGCGGCACTGAAGCCACATGAGAAGGTCCCAGGTTCTTGTCCCGCATGTGCCTGAGTACTCCAGGTACATGTACACCTGTGATCCCGGATGGCTGAGGCTGGGCAGTGAATTGTGTTATGAGGGCTCTCCTGAGGTTGCCCCTTTCTCTCTCTCACCCTGTTTCTCTTTCTGACTCTCTCTGATGGAAAAAATATATAAAATAAACTTAAAACAAAATGAAGGAGTGGATCCATGAGGAATATTTTTATTTCTTCTGTAGGGGAAAAAGTAATTCCTCTAAGTAAACAAACAGTATGAGCAAGCTGACATAGGCATTCGATTGTGGTCCAGTCCTGCAAGCAAATGATTCCACACAGGATTTTTATCCACTAAATTGAATCCAGAAAGACCATTTTTGATAAGACTTTCCAAAAAATGATTTAGCAAGCAAAAGTTTAGGCTAATTCAAAATAATTTTAAAAAAAGCTTTAAAATGTGGAATATTGAGTGGTCTTCTTTCTCATACATAAATGGTTCCCATTTACAAGATTTGATTGTTACCATTACAGAGTAAAACATTTTCTAGAGATGAACGTTCGTGAGAACTAAATTCGTCCTTTCTTGTATTACTAACCTTCCTTAGAGACTGCACCAGCCCATGGTTCCTGAGAAACTGAAAGGCACTACAGATTCTGTGGCTAATTCTCAGAGTCTTTCCCCAGGTTTATAAAAATGTTTGGCAATCGGGAACCAGCAGTTAGCGTAATGGCTATGTCGCTGGACTCCCACGTAGTTGACCGCGGTTCGCGTCCCAGACCCAGTGGCTTAAAACTCACACCGGGCGCGTGTGCGTGCGTGCCTAAGATCCTTTTTTGGCGACGGCACGCCGCCTATAGCGAAAATCTCTCCAAAAAAAAAAAGAATTAAAAAAAAAAATGTTTGGCAATCAGGTTGCAGAGTGGGGAATGTAAACTTTTTTTTTTTTTTTGAGAGGTTTTTTCACTATAGGGCATGTGCACTCGCCAGACAGAGAGAGACAGAAAGCAAGAAATCACCCCCCAGGGGGGATGGTCACGCCGCAATCCCTTCTCCTCCATTCTCCTCTCAGGATCTTGGGCACTCACGCACATGTGCCCAGCGTGAGTTCTAAGCCACCGGGTCCGGGACGCAAATCACGGTCGACTACGTGGGAGTCCATCGACATAGCCATTATGCTAACTGCTGGTTCCCAGGAATGTAAACTTATTAACTCTAAAATACAATTTTTAGCAAAACTCAATTTTTTAAATTCTAACACTCTAATAGTTTGGAATGAAAAATATAGTCACTTTTAATGTGGCATATATGTTATATAATAAATCACTTGAGTGGTATATATGTCATATAAGATATGACATTGCTTCCAAAAAGAAAAGTGAGGGCTCATCCCATGGCCCACATGGCCAGCCGCACAGTTTGAATTCTGGCCTCAGCAGCTTGAAAAACACGACAGATACATGTGCATGTGAGCCTCAGATCCCTATAGGATGAACAAACGGAAGACAAGGAATTGCGGCATGACCAAATCCCACTGGGGAGATGCTTTCTCTTTCTATCTCTTCTCTCTCTCTGTCTCTCTATATCTCTTTGGCAAGCTCATGGGCCCTTAAGCTTTCAAAACAAACAGGAAGAAAACTGGAGTCTACAGAGTCTCTCTATGGAGTCTCTCTACAGAGTCTCTCTACAGAGTCTCTCTCTCTCTTTTTTATTCCCTTTTTTTTTTCTTTTCTTTACAGAGACTTTTGCTATAGGGCATGTGTGTGCACCAGAGAGACAAACAGAAAGCGAGAAATCACCACCACCACCGCTCCCCTGAGGGATGGCCACATGGCAATTCCTTCTCCTCCATTCTCCTTTCAGGATTTTGGACATGCACACACATGTGCCTGGTGTGAGTTTTAAGCCACCGGGTTCAGGACTCAAACTGTGGTCGAATACATGGGAGTCCAGCGATGTAATCATTATGCCATCTGCTGGTCCCAGAGTCGCTTAACAGAAGAGCCTCGCCCACTTACCGGTACAGCCCTTCAGTCACACGGCCTCCCGGGTAGGCATCCTCTATGTCTGTGTTGTTGGCCGTCCACCACAGAAGGGTGATTAAGGGTTTGTTGGCTCCCAGAAACACCTTGCACGGGATTGTCAGTTTTGACCCTGTGTACAGCAGGACACCGCATGTCAGTCATCAGATTCCAGCACCAGAAGAGGAATGGCCAACCCACCCGCGTCAGCACATCCAAGCGGTGGAGCCCACTGTGCCTACTCAACCACCCCTCATCAGACAATTCCTTTCTCAGAAGGAAATTTAGTTCCTCAAAGACTCTGCTCACTTAGAGCTTTAATATCCCCCACCTGCCTCCAGCTCCTTCAGCTGGTCTCCATGGTAGCTAAACACCTAGAGGCACATGGAGTGGGTGGTTTCGCCAGGACCACTCTGTCCCTCCATGGCATGGTGAATTCAAGGACTACCTTCCACAATTTATTCTGGTTGCCTCCAAAACCCAGGCTCATGTGCAGGTCCCCTCTCTCTGCCCTTTGCTGTCCTCAGCTCTCACAGGTCCCCTGTGACATTCTATCCCCAGACAGCTCTCACTTAAAATTAAGCCTTTCAAGAGCCGCCATGTATATTTCCTGTGGGTGGTGCCTTCTGCAGTTGTCATGCGGTGTCACGGCTAGCACTGGATAGCCCTGCTCTGTCATGCGGTGTCACGGCTGGCACTGAATGGCCCTGCTCTGTCATGCAAGTTATTTTTTTGCTATGCACCAAAAAGGAGGGAAATTTTTTAAAAAAGAAACAAACAAGCAAAAATAAATGCTTTCTACTTATTTCTTCCTCATAGGTGATATGTTTTTTACCGTACTTGGCCTCAATCAGGCTCAGAAGGCCAGGCCTTCTCCCTCCTTTGCCACTGTGATGACCTTAAAGGTTTCCCTCAGCCTTCGCAGCCCACTGAATCTGGCAATGCTGCTCCACCATGCACGGCAGTGCATTCAAAGCAACCGATGGGACCTGGGGTCCCCTGGCTGAGGATGACCAAAGAGCTGGGAACTGGGACTCCTGTTGGCATCCGTGTCTCCACTACCTGTTCCCAGAACCAAGGTGGCCATGTGGGTGCAACCTGCATGCAGCCAGCAATCCCAGCTCTTCTCTTTTCTCTATTCTCTACAATTAAAATGTAAAACTTAAACCCAACACCAAACAGATGTACAAAAACAATAAAACTTTAAATAGGATTCCATAGTCAGGGCTTAATAAATGAGCAGCAGACTCACAAAGTCATTGTGTAAAAACACACACTCACAAAGGGTTCAGGCTTCACTGACACACAGGCCTGAGTCTGAACCCCCAGCCTGACTTTGTGGTGTTTTGACCTTCACTGAATGAATGTGACCCCCTGGGTGGCGTTTCCACCTATAAAATGGGAGAAATAATACCTTCCTACAGAGTGAGTGGTTGGTTGCATGAGGTCTCACTGGACATAGCAGATGCTCAGTAAACATCAATCCCTTCCCCACTACTAGCATCAGAAGGTTATTACTATAGCTTACTCAGGTACCTTTGCTTGCCATTGGTGGGGACTGGCCAGAAAGTATGAGCGAAATATGGAAAACCCGATTGTCACTTGCATCACACCGTTCAATCAGTAATATTGACAACAAGAAATTGACTCTAGCCACAGCCAACTCCACTTTACAAATGGAGTCTTAGAAAAACGCCAACTGTCAGCCATGTTTAGGTAACATGGATTTTTAATATCCTGAAGATACTGGCTGCTTAAACGATTCATGTTGTTTATCCTTTCACTCAGTTAATAACTGCTGCCAACATCTTCATTTTGGATTTTGAAGGTGAAGTTTTCATGAAGCAAAGTAGACTTGTTCTCAAACACTGTCACTTCTAACAACCTTAGACAAAGGGAGATGTTATCCCAGCCTCACACTCTGGGCCTCCACGTTCTCCACCTGGGAACTCTGCCCCCTAGAGGGGCAGGTATGGCCAGCAGGCCCAAGTCTCCCCTGCCCCTCAGAGCTGAGATGTGGAGTACCCCCGCAGGTCCCCACCGGCCTTACCCAGAGAAGCTGATATGGTGTTCAGGGGAGAAATAAGCACAGGAATGATCTTGTCTTCCCTTTCTGAGAAAGACACAAGGAAAAGAGATTCAATCAGGAAAGTCTTCATTTCAAATCTGAAATTCCATTGTTTGGCTAATGAACCCAGTTATCCTTTACAAAGTGGCCAGGCATTGTTGAAAATCAACCTTTGCCTGGCAAAGGAAACAGACTCTTCACAAAACTGAACATCTTTGGCCAATGCCTCTCAGAGCAGAGCGATTACTGGAAGAGGATGCAATCAAACGCATTCCACTGATGGGCCTCTTTGTTCTCTCTCTGGGATAAACAATCAACCATTTCCCTCCCAAACTTCCCAGACACATTATTTCTAATTAACATATAATAATTGTACACACTTGTGCGGGTACAATGTGACTTTTCAGTACATAAATACAATGTGTAATAACCGAATCAGAGTAATTAGGATACCTATCATTTCAACCACGTGCCATTCCTTTGTGTGAGAATATTCAAAGTCCTCTTTTTATAGTTACTCTGAGATATCCAGTAATTTGTTATGAACTATATTCACCCCACTGTATTTTGTGAAACTAGACATTGTTCTGTTGTGTCTTTGTAACTTTGTTTCCATTACCAGGCCCTAAGAGAGATGTTTGCTATAGCATACGGGCGCTCACCAGAGATAAAGACAGAGAGCCAGAAATCACCACCCAGCCCCCCAGGAAGGATAGCCACACTGCAATCCCTTCTCCTCCATTCTCCTCTCGGGATCTTGGGCACACACATGCGCATGAACCCAGCATGAGTTTTAAGCTGCCAGGTCCAAGATTCAAACCTCAGTCAACTACATGTGAGTCCAGCAACATAACAATTATGCCATCTGCTGGTCCCCCGGCCCTATTCTTAGTAGTCATGTTCATAATAACCACAGGATGGGCTTTATCCAATGGTCTACTTGTCTACTTGTCCTAAAACTCTCTCTTCCACCTCTCCAGAGGCTGAATACTGAAGATTCGCTTCAAAAAAAGGCACAGGGGTTCCAAACCCTCAGTCTGTAACGTTATTGGCACACTGAGTGATGAACACAGTAGCCCAGCCTTGGCCACTGATGTCTTATTCATTAAAGGGATGGACTCGTGGGAGAGACACGAGTGGATCTCCAAGGGATCAGAGAAACTAGGCACCTGAAGTAGAACAAGGAGGACAGTTAGGAGGTGAGTGGAGGGCTGTGAGTTCTCTCCACTCTGGCTTCTCCATGCTCACCTCTTCCATGGAAGAGTATTTGAAATCCTAACATGAATGACCATTGGACAACAGAGCAGCGCAGCCCTGGGGGCCCATGGCCCTCACCTGAGGCTGGAAGCCTCTTCCTCCTCTCAAAGTCCCACTGCTGCCACGCAGAGCTATGACAATCAGGGAGAGAAAGAAGCCTCCAGGACTAGGTATCTCAGTGGTTCTCAAACTCAGAGATGCACCAGCATAACTGGAGAGCTTGTGACATACAGATTGCTGCCCCCCATCTAGAAAATTCCAGTTTTGTGGGTCTGCATTGGAGGCCAAGGCTTTGCCTGTCTAATGAGTACCCTGAACTACCCTCGGGCAGCCACTGAGCTGCAGCAGGACGGCAACACAGGATAACACAGTATGTAGGTCTGTCGCCCCCTCGTGTTCCTCTGCAGTATCGCATGAGCAGGATAAGCTGGGGCCCACGGAAAGGCACAGCAGCCTCAGCCGCCAGCCCTGTCCGGGAACAGATGTGGATATGAATGAATCCTCACAGAACAGCAGAAGAAATACAGTCCAGGGACTTGGGTTCATGGGAGATGTGATGTTCCTTGTAGTAAAAGTGAATCTCAGTATTCTCTGCGAGGGAAAAAAGTCTTTTTCTCTCACCAATTGTTTAACCTTAATATGTTCCCCAAACACTATGAAGTCCTCTTTAATGACTCTAATTTTGTTAGTTATTCAGAAAATTAAATAAAGAAACATGGATTGGCTCCATGACGCAGCAGTAACTCACTGCTCGGGGGAAGCAGGATTTCACAGGGCAACCTTGGTTCAAATCCCTGGCCAGGCCTGAGACACACCAGGTATACAGTGGTTATCAAGACCCATTGGGCTGGAGGGCTGGAGGAAGAGAATGGTGGCATGTGCAGACCCTGTGAAGAGTCCCCCTGCCAAATGACATGCATGTGCTCTATAACAAAGTTCAAAAACGAAAGAAAGAAACCTGGCATACTCTGAAGGGCAGAGCCCGTGGGGACACACACGCCTGTGCACATGCTTGTACACTCCTGGCACCGGCTCCCTGTCCAGCACATGGAAGGGCTGGGGTCGATGCTGACAGATGCCACATACTGACCAGCACTCCTCACAACCTATTTCCAAGCATAATTCACTTAACGTAATGAGCAAGAACTCTTACCCTTTGAAGTTCTGGTACCAAGGGCAACCAGTAGGTCGCTGTAAAAGTCATGATGTAGTTTTCCTTGGTTTTCCTCTGCAAATATGTCTCATGACTTTTTTTGAAAGCCCAATAGATACGCCTCAAGGAACTTTTTTTTTTTTAAAAAAAAGGACAATTTCCACTGGATAGCCTTCTAGTTAAAAGCAATAAATACGACCTTAGTATCCTAGAATTTTACACAAAGTCGTGGCCATTGTATTCTCACTGCTGACCCGGTAGTCGGGAACTTTCCACGGGAGATTTTCAAAGGGGCCTTGCAAGGAAAGCATTACTTGCCCCTCAGATGCTGTGTTTTGCCCTTGGCCTTGGAATCTTATCAACTGCCAGGGATGCGTTCATCCTTCCTCCTTGACACTTTCCAAGGGTCACGCACACGCCTTATTAACCCTCAGGTTTGGGAGAGATGGAAATCCATTTTCCTTTTCCTTTTATGCCAGGAATCCTGTGCAAACCGTGGTTTGTGTCATTCTGATCGGTGTGAAACCCGCTTTGTCCACGCTTGGTTCTGAACCAGGACAGACAGATCTCTCCACAGCAAGCACTTACCTTCTCTGACGCGTAATTCGATATCCCTAGTGACGTTGTAGTCTCTGCCCTCGTGGGAAAACGTTAGGACGCAGCTATAATAGCCCGCGTCCTCTGCAGATACGTCGTGTATGAGTAAGCGGGTGTTCTCGCTCACGCCTAGAAACCGATCGCTGCTGTGGTCCAGAAGGACAGAGCCCTGAGGAGAAAGCGTTAAGTTTATGTTACATATTCATTCACACTTCGAAAGCTATGAGTCACGTCGACGTTACCTACCCGTGTTCAACTTGCACCCCTCGTGTCTACTTTGCCATTTTGGTACGTTGGGTATAGTTTTAACTGTATTTTTAGAAAAGGGAATTTGTTACATATAACACACAGAAAATGGCTGGATTTGTTTAACCATAAGATGTCAAGCATGTTTGCTCAAGTGCAATGGGGGAAAAAAGAGAATTAGCTCTTCAGTGGCAAAGTAGGACATTTAAAGTACAAATGAACTGCTTCCTACGATAGGCCTTAGAAAATATCTAGGAAGGGGACCAGCAGATGACGCAGTGGTTAAGACACTGGACTCCCACATGGTCGACCACGGATCAAGTCCCAGACCCAGTGGCTTGAAACTCACACCGGGAATGTGTACATGCACACCCAAAATCCCAAGAGGAGGGTGGAGGAGATAGGATTGTGACATGACCATCATCCCTGCGGAGGGTGACTTCTCACTTTCTCTCTGTGTGTCTTTCCAGCAAATGTATGTACCCTACGGGAAGAATCTCCCTAATAAATATATATCTGTGTGTGTGTGTGTGTGTGTGTGTGTGTGTATCCAGGCAGAACACTACTAAATAGTCATGATTTGGACGACAATGTTCAGAAAAGATGAAGTTGCAGTAATTACTTCAAAAATAATTTCAGTGGGGCCAGCAGATGGCATAGCAGTTACGTCACTGGACTCCCACATGGTTGCCAGTTGGTTCAAGTCTTAGATTCGGAGGCTTCAAAATCATACCGGGCTTGTGTGCATGCATGCCCAAGATCCTGGAGGGAGAACAGAGGAAAAGAGATTGTGGCATGGCCATCCCCCCTGGGGAGTGACTTGTCACTTTCCCTCTCACTGTATCTGTCTCTCTCTACAATGAGCACATGCACCCTAAGGCAAAAATCTCTATAAATAAATAAATAAATAAATCATTTCAATGTTAGGAGTCAGTAAGACTGAAAAAAAGAAAACATGTAATAAAAAAGTAAATGGGAAAAACGAGTCCACACTCCTCACATGGACACAAGATTCTGTGGGTTCTCTGCAAAACAGAGCTCTCAAGAACAAGGCCTCCCCCAAAATAGGAAGTGCCTAGTGGGATTTAAGAACGCATACTAGCAAGTACACAATGTTCTCAGGGACCTCTCTTTCAAAACCATGATGAGGGAAACGTGTAATAGTCCATTGTAGGGTTGAGTCATTTCAGAATCTTACTCTGAATGGGAACACAGAGACAATTGAGAGAGTTAGTTAGATGGCTCACTAATCGTTTCACAACGTATTTGAAAGGGGAGATTTCATTGTCCCAAACAGGGCCAAGCACCACCGCTGCCCCAGGAGTGTGCAGGACCTGGCCTCCTGGGTTAGAGCCTTGGCTTCGTAGCTCACCAACTTCGTGACTTTGTAAAAGTTCTTATGTTCTCTTATCTAGAAAATGAAGACGCTGACAGTCCTTACTTCACTGGGTTGCCTGTTAGAAACTTCGAATAGGACTGGACACAGGATGTGGCCAGTCACCTTTCACATTATTAGGAAAAGGATGAATGTTATTGTGCGCCTCCATGACATCCTCATCCACCTGCGTTTATTAAGCACCGTGTGTATGCCAAGCACTGACTACGTATACACCACTCCATTTACTCTTCAGAACAATCCCAGGCAATGGAAATTACCAACTGTCGTTTTACAGAGCAAACAGGTTCCAGGCTACCCAACAGGGTAATGAAGGAACAGGGTTTAAACCCAGGCCCATAGACTTCAGAGTCGGGGCTCTTTCCTCCACGGTACAACCTCTCCTTTGACCTCTCTGTGATCTTCTCAAACCTAACGACAAGGCCTTCTGTAGCTGGGCCGTCTTATTTATAGCAGCTGGCTACTTTCTTCTACTTCCTGAAAATCATTTCAAAGTTTTCAATATGAAATGAATACCCCAATTATATCTTGTAGTGTTTGTATAAGTCATCTGGTTACCCTGTATTGATTATACTGTTACTTCCTACCAGTGACTAAACAAAAACCTGTACTTTCTGGTATCCATCTGTTGTCTATACCCAGCTATGGTTTCCTGTCAGGAAAGGGCCAGATTGCAAATATTTAGGCCTTCCAGTTCTCGTGGTCTCTGTCACAACTAGAAAGTTAAAACAGCCACCACTGTCACATAAAGAAATGAATGTGGCTGTGTTCCAGTAAAACTTTATTTGTAGAAACTGACATTTGAATTGTATGTAATTTTCACATGTCATGAAATAGTCTTCTTTTAGTTTTTCATCAAACATTTAAAAATGGAAAACTTTCTTTAATTTGTGAGCCATACAAAAACAGATGGCAGCTATATTTGGCCCCTGCCATATTTTGCCACACCTTGTCTACGCAGTGACAGCAAATGATCTCCTCTGGGATCATTAAAACACCCCATCGTATTTACCCAACCAACTGCAGGAGCAAATCGTGTTTATACTTATTCTTTTAACCTAAAGTCTGTCATGTGCTTGGAAAAACAAACAAATAAACAAAAACTTCTTTACTATGTGTACAAAGTTGTGACGTGACTAATTTGTTTCTAAATTTTTAAAGACAAATGTGAGTAAAAAGCTATTTGCTTCGGCTGATATTCACCCGGATTGTATTTTCTATTCTGTCTTCACAAATTGCCATTTCAAGGACCCTTGCCCAAGCCATATAAAAACAAATAGAACATTCCAACCCCAGGACCAGTAGTAATCCCTGCCCTATTTGATTGTTTTATGTATATGGGGGTGTGGGGGTGTGTATGTATGTATATATCACAACCCACACACATATATATAACAATCAAATATATATATATTTGAATGAAATGAGACCTAGGTCTTTTATGTGTTCACTAGTACAATCCACACACATATACATACTAGGCTGTCGGAAAAGTTGTGATGCATTTTTGCATAGAAAACTGACAACCCAATATATAACATAAGTGCATACACACACACACATATACACATATATATATGTCTACATATATATATGTGTATATATATATAAACAATTATATTAGGTTGTCAGGATAGTCATGACCTATTTTTCTATGTTTATCTATGCAAAAATGCCTCATTACTGTCCCAACAACACTATCTATTTATATATATATCTCTATATAGATATTTATAGATATACAGAGATATAGATAGATAGATAAATTAAATGTCTTAAGAAATAAAGCTTCTGTATGTCCCTTAGTACAATGCATTTTATTGCAATGGTAATGTTTTAAGGTGTACCTTGTACCAATGGATCCTCACGTCAGTTTTGTTACGGATGAATTCCTCCAGGTGAGGACACACTAACAACCCAGAGGATGGCAGGGTCACAGTTTGCACGTAGGAGATGAGCTCCAGAGAAGTTTCTGTGTTCTCAAAAACCCTGAGACCGATGGCCATTTCATCACAGTAAGTGGCATTTCTAATTTAAAAGAAGAAATAATAAATGCAAAGCAAAATAAAAGTAAAACTGAAATTAAGAATTTTCCCAGTCCCCATTAAGTTCTACATCAGCATTTTCTTAATTAAGATTGCAACACTTCGGTTTCTGACTCTTCTGAACCCTTGGGAAACAAAAAACATTCCATCATAATTGCCATTAGAGAAACAGTGATGTGGTCCGCACTTTTTGCAAAGGGTCCAACACTATCAAGGGTCACTAAGAAATTCCCAAAGTCCTCTTCAAAGGGGCTTAACCCTTTCAGGTTCTGTAGCTCCTTGACCTCAGCTCCAACTCCATTGCCCAAGGCATCAGAGCTATATGGAGAGACTGTTTCTCAAGGGCCACTGTTTCCATAAAAAGAAAGTTACCTTTACTCCTCTTAGGAATCATTAATCACAGATCTCTTACTTCAGAAAACTGCTGGAAACTTAGTGTAAGATCTAGAAATTATTTTTGCAATACTGCACAGAGGAAATTAACTTGGTGAATTCATTTATTTGTTTAATTTTTTAAATATTTTTCTTGTTGTTGGCCTAATCATAAAATCTCAATTCCAGGGTCAGTAGGTGGCATGGTGGTTAAGACACTGGATCCCATGTGGCAGACACTGTGGTTCAAATCCTGAACCTGGTAGCTTGAAAATCACTCTGGGCACATGTGTATGTATGCCCAGAACCCCAAGAGGAGACTGGAAGAGAAGATGTTGCAGCATGGCTAACCCCCTGAGGGGTGCTTTCTCATTTTTCTTCTCTCTGTGTTTCTGTCTGCCTTTCTCCAATGAGTACACATGCCCTACAGCAAAAATCTTAAATAAATTAAATAAAAATAAATCTCAAGCCCATAATTCTATCAAAATCCTAGAGCTGGGAAAAGGACAGAGATAAAGCTTTGCTGGTAACATAGAGAAATGAGTGGAAGGATGTGACACTCCACAAGATAATTGCACATAAGAAGATGCTGGGGTCAAGTCTTGACACCTCTCATAGTATACCGCATTTATGTCCATGACACACGGTTGCTTGAGCAGGGGTAATCATGGCATCATGACATGCTGCCTCTGTCTGTCTCTCTCAATCTTTCTCTCTCTCTCTCTCTGTCTCTCACTCATAGAAGAATATATAAATACATAAATAAACATTTTTTTAAATCTACTTTTTACAGTAGGAAAACATGGGACCAGCAGTTAGCATAATGGCTATGTCACTGGACTCCCACGTAGTCGACCGTGGTTCGTGTCCCAGACCCGGTGGCTTAAACTCACACCGGGCGCGTGTGCATGCGTGCCCAAGATCCCGAGAGAAGAATGGAGGAGAAGGGATTGTGGCGTGGCCATCCCCCCTGGGGGGTGATTTCTCGCTTTCTATCTCTCTGTCTCTCTCTGTCTGTCTGGCGAGTACACGCAGCCTATAGCAAAAACCTCTCCAAAGAAAAACAAGTAGGAAAACATAAAAATATAATTATCTCAGCTAAATTTCTGACTATCTAAAACACATGAAATAATAATCAGTATCCAAAGAAGCAACAAGATGTGAAAAAAACATATGTGAAAAAAATGTGAGAAAAGTGTACAACCTGAAAGATAAAATAATTAATTCAAATACACAGGCCAACATCTGCACTGTAGTTTACATCTGGTTTTAAAAAGGGAGAAATAGATGAAGAAACATTTTATGCACAAAGAAATACAAAAAGTTCGCTCTCACCTTGAAAAAGGCATCATCTCAATAACTGAAAATGAAGACAAGTTTAAAAGACAGTGCACACTTGAAAGACAGTCACCACAGCAGCTGGCCAGGTGCACGCCAGGCCGTGTACTGAGTGCTTTGCCTACGTTATTTAATTGATTCTCCAAAGTTATGAAATAGGAATTACGTTCATACCATTTTCAGGTTAAAAAAATATATGTACAGAGATTTCCTAAGGCCTTAAAGCTACTAAGAATTGTCAAACCAAAGTTGGAAGTAAAGAGAAATTTTTTTGTTGTTGTTATGGAAACAGCGGACATTGAGAAACAGTCTCTCCATTTGGATATGATTCCTGGGACCATGAAGTTAGATCACAAAGGGGGTGAGCTCAATGAACTCTAGAACCTGAAAGGATTAAGTCCTTTGGAAGAGCATTTTGGAGATTAACATCTGATTAGGTCTCTTCGAGTGAATTAGCCATAAAGCAAGCCTGCCACTTTTCCCTCTCTGGCATATGTGTTCCCAGGTTTCCCTTCCACATTTCCATCATGTTTCAACATACCACAAGGCCTTCACTGAAAGCTGCTAGATGAAGAATTGATCAAATCCAAATCTTTCGTGCAAGGGGCACTACCAACTGAGTGAATATGCAACCCACAGAATGGGAGAAAATGTTTGCAGATCACATCTGGTAAGAGGTTAATATCTAGACTATACGAAGAGCTACAACTTGACAAGAGAATATTCCAGTGTAAAACATGGACAACGGGTTGACCCTGTAGCCTACTGGTTAAGGAACTGGCTACTCCATGGCCCCAAAATATGCTGGGCATATGTTTGTGTGTGCCCCAAATCCCAAAAGGGTGAAGAGATAGAAAAAAAGATATTGTAGCATGACCACATCCCAGTGGGGGTTGTTTTCTTCCTCTATTCTGCCTGTCTCTCTTTGAGGAGTGAATATGCCCTCTGGCAAATAAAAATTTGAAAAATATCTCTTTAAAGAAGATACACAAATGGCCAATTAATACATGAAAAGATGCTCAACATCACTAATCATTAAGGAAATGAAAATAAAACACAAGATAACATTTTATCTATACTTAGGATGGTTATAATTAAAAATGAATAGTTAAATAACATATAACAGAAAATAACAAATGCTGATGAGAATGTGGAGACATTAAAGCCTTGTATACCATTGGTAGGAATGTAAAATGCTATAGCCACTGTGGAAAACAGTATGGCAGTTCCTCAAAAAATTACCCTATGATCGGGCCATTTCTTTTTGGGGTATATAATTAGAAGAATTGAAAGCAGGAACACAAACAGATCATTGTACACCCATGTTTATATCAGCATTATTCATAATAACAAAAGGCAGAAGAAGCCAGTATCCCTGGATAGATAAATAGATAAATAAAATGTGGCCTATACATAAGTGAGGTCTTCAAAAGTTCACGGAAAATGAATATTTCAAAAAAGAACATGCATGGATTTAAAATTTTTTTTGCACCAAAATAAACTTGTACTTAAATTCTGTTTTTCCACAAACATTTTGAAATCTCCTCACACAACTGATGACACATGCTATGACATGGATGAACCTTGACATTATGCTAATCACCAAAGGACAAATACTATATAATTCTATTTATATGAAATACCCAAAGCAGTCACATTCACAAAGACAAGGTGTAGAATGGAGGTTGTTGTCAAGGGCTAAGAAAGGGGGAAATAAGGAGTTGTTTAATGGGAGCAGAGTTTCCGTTTTGGAAGCTGAAAAAGTTCTGAAGCTAGACAATGGTGATGGTTGCTTACCCATGCGTATGGGCTCAATGTTACTGATCCATACATTTAAAAGTGGTTGAAATGGTAAAGTTTTTGTTCTGTGTATTTTACTCTAAATAAAGGGGGGGAAAGCAATAGGACAAAGAAGGAAGAGGGTTGGATCCAAGGTCAGTAGACACAGGTTTCAGCAGAGTACCTTCCAACCTAAGGAAAGTTTCTAAGTGAGTTTGATTCTGCACCTTTTCCACTGGGATCATTTATCCCTAATGTCTCATCCAGCTCGAAAGTTCTACTCAAGGAAGCCTCCCCTCTAGTGAGTAGGCAACATCTACTCATTGTTAAGTACATGAACATATAGACTTGTCAGATGAGGAAAACTCTATCAAAACTTGACAGCAGGGAAAGGAAAGAGAGTGAAAGAGTGCGTGTTAGACCAAATGGCTAACTCCTAAAAGATAGCATTTGAGTGAAGAGTAAATGAAAGGAGGGAGGGAGTGATCCAAAGGCCTGGGCAGGGTGGTATTTCAGGAACAGTAAGTGGGGAGAGATCATGTGATTCTCACCTGTACACTGGATTTGGAAATCCAGCTACACGGCTGAATTTGAAGTCAGGCCTCTATGACTCCACCATTCCATGAAGCAGTAGTAGTGAGATTAAAACCAGGTGGGAAGAAAAGGCCAACCTGAGAGCAGGTCTGGCAAATAAAAATGTGAAAAATGTTTCAATGTCCCAGCCCAGAAGGCTTACCTTAAAGTGCAGATGTAGGTGCCAGAGTCTTCCTGCAACGCCGGCAGGAACCAGAGAGCATCACCCTGGACCCTCACGCGTGCCTCTTCTCCCACGATGATCTCGGCAGAGTTGGATTTATGCCATGTCACATTGACATGGGCACTGGCAATGGCACCTGACCAATACTCCACTTGGGGACACCTCAGGACCACAGGCTCCCTTTCTACTCGTGATTCTTCCAAGTAATACTTGCCACGAAATTTGCAGTGTTCTGCCACCGCTGAAAGACAGACAGATCACAGTCAGGCTTCGCGTCACAGACCCAGGCTGGTTTTGGCAGGGAAACAATGAGGTACATCCAAGGCAGATGCCATGTGTCCCTAACAAAGTGAGCTGCACCCTGGGGTGCCATTAATTCTTTCCTCACCCCTGTTGTCATATCTTCAAAATTATCAAATAACTGGTTCAAGGCTCCTACCAACTTCCACTGGCATTTTGTAAGGACAGTTGTGTCAGGTTCATAAGTGACCACAGAAAAATGATTTTTAAATGAGTCTATGTTTTTCACATATAGAGCCTTTGTCATTAAGTCATATGGTTGAAATCCAAAGGGTTGACTTGCTCTTTGGTGGGAATGATCCACACCCAGGGTGCAGCAGAGCGGAGGACCACCAGCAGCACCTGGCCCTCACTAAGGCACGAATGTTTGCACTTACTTTTCAGTACCAACACAGCGAGAGCAGCTGCAGTGCAGCCTTTCTCTAGCAAGAGTTTCCTTCTTACCAGGGAGCTCCTCTGGCTGAATGGTGAAGGTAGATGCACCCGCTATCAACATGTACAAGATGATCATTATTCCCCAAAACTTCCAGAGGACACAGGAAGTAGAGATTGGTGGGCCAGTAGCCTGTAACCTAGGGGAGGAGACAGAGAGGTCACCGGGAGCCATGAACCCTTAAAGGGAGAGCCCCTTGAAGATGGTCCCAGGGACAGATTCTTGAGGCTTCCCCTGATGATACAATTCTTTTTGTCTAGATTTATAAGAAACTCAAAATTTGGGAATTCGCTGTTCTAGGACCATATTTACTGAACACACCTAAAGTGAAACACCTGGAGCACCTGCAGACCCTCTTGGAATAGGAGCTCCGCATTCTAAGTTTCAGCCTGTCACCAGTATGCCTTAGCAGCCCCTGCCCCTGTGCCTAAGATGCCCTTTCCTCCACTGAGCCCACTGCCAACACCCTTCTCTTCTTCAGGCATGTGCTCACACGTCACACTCTCAGTGAGATCTTCTCTCAAACCCCATGCAAAAACACACCACCCTTCTATCACAATAGTCCATAATTATTTTCCTGCTCTGATGTTCTCTGTACCATTCACCACCAACCATGTCTCCTTCCTTTGGAGTGTAAGCTCCATGTGTGTAAGGACCCTACTTTACTTCATTCACAGTTCTATCCTCAACTATAAGTTGTTGGATGGATGAATTAGTGAATGACTGAATCTCTAGAAGTCAAAAGGTCCTCATATTTCCCTTGTCAGATAAATTTTCCTATACCTCCCATGCATTAAATCTAATTTTAAAAACAATTCAGGCATACATGGGGTCTTTGAAAAGTTCATGGGAGGTGCATATTATGGAAAAACTATGCATGAAATTCAAAAATTTTTGCACCAAAATAAGCTCATACTTTGATTCCACTTTTCCATGAAATTTTTAATTTTCCTCATATGCTGAGAGAGTCTATGAAGTACTAACTGTCTGATTAAGAGTACCCCAACTGAAAAAGCAGTAAGAGGTCTAAAAAAAGTGATTAACATGCAAGTTCATGAAGCATTCTTTCACCAAACCTTCCCAAGATTGGAGTATCTGATGCCCACTTGCATCTCCCCATGGTCCTTTTCACGCTGTATTGCAACTGCTTGTTATATCAGCTAACCATTGCCACACCTATTCTACTTACGAAACCACTTCAAAGCCAAATGATGTAAAACAAGTTCGTGGGTCATATGGAGGCTGGCTACCTAGGTTAGGTTGGGTTAGACTTGACTCTACGCTATAGGTGGTGTTCAAGTTTACTCCATATGTCTCTCATCCTCCTTGGACCAGTAAACTTCCCCGGAGATGGTCTCCTGGTATTATGGGATGGCAAAATGCAAACATGGGTAAAAGCACACAAGGTCATGCTCAGAGCTAGCTCACTTTTGTTTGCCTACGTTCCATTGGCCACAGCAAGTCACATAGTCAAAACTTTCATGTGTGGGCTGGGAAAGTTACACTGGGAAAGGTAAAAAAGTGAGCGCAGCTAGGCCAAGTGCCACACCTGATTCTTATCATGGGTGTTCACAACCTGCAAGGCAGAGAACAGGTCTTGTTCATGGCCGACACAGTACCCAGTCCCAGAAAGTACCAGGGCATGTTTATGGCTGAAAGTCTACCAGAGACTTGGAAATGGCAAGTGAATCCAGGAAAATTCCCTCCATTGCCCCACCTCCCCTTCTGAGATAGTCTCTGCTTCTAGAATAGATACCATTGTGAATGACTCACACTAACCCCAGGGGGACCTTAACTGTTCAGGGTAGGGTTGGCCTTGAGTAAGTGGCTCTTGTCCTTTGTAAACCCTCACTTGACAGTAGAGAATCATCAGTGTTCAAAGGCTCAGATCTGTAGTCCGAGCTCCCCTGCTAGTGACTAAAAGTCAGGAACTGAGATTTATCTTTAGCTGGGTATCTTGCCTGGAGCTGTCTTCCCTAAGCTCTTCCAGCTTCTGCATGGCCCTATTCTTCACATGTTTCTCAAACAAAAATATTGTATTTCCTGGGACTTTAACTTTAATCCTTCTCCTAGGTTTGCTAGCCAGAAGGTCCTGTGAACATCAGCCAAATTTCTTTGTACTCTTTGGACACGCATGAGCTTATTGTGTTCCAAGCTGTACTAGACCTAAGTCCCTAGTAAGAGATGAAAAAAGTAGGAGTTAAATATACCACATCTAAGCAATGCCACATGTCCGTGTAAGTACAAGTCAAAGATGCTGGCATAGGGACTTACATCATAGTCATAGCTACTGTGCCAAATATTGAACATTAATTCTCTCAGTTTATCTTCATGATGCAAGTATCATGCTTATTTTACACCTGATGTATTAGAACATATCAAAAAAGTTTGGTCAAGATCTTAAGCTACTAAGCAGGAGTTGAAATTTCAACACAGGAGTGGTAATTCCAAAGCACTTGCTCTCCAAAAATACACCTTTTATGATACATTCTGCTAGTTTCTTCCCCATATCTGACATTCCCATTTCCCCAGCAAAAGAACTCTAAACCACCAACTAGGCACATGGCCACCACACATAATGACTACATTTCCTGTCTTCCTTTGCAACAAGGATTGCACATGTGACAAAATTTTAGCCAACTGAATATAAGTGGAAATGTGTGATCTTCCTGGGAAGTCTCTACTAATCTTCTTCCCTGATGGCTCAGTGTGGATGTGGTGGCTGGATTGTAGCTGCCGCCCTGGGCTACAAGGTATGGAGCACTTGATGGAAGTGGTAGGGCAGTAAGAGGAGAGCATGAGTCTTCAGAGGCTTCCTGAAACCACTCATCACCCTAGACTGCCTTCTTTCATATGTTCAGGTGTTCTGTTATGTATAGCCAAACCTAACCCCAATAGGTTGCCTTTCCAGAGTTTATAAAAAGAACCCAAGGAATAGTCAGGTGTGTTCTCACCATCCTCCTTCTGATTCTCAACAGTTTCAAATAAACAGTTTCTGCTGATTGAATCTAACAGTCACCTGGCTCAAAGGCAGGGTTTGCTGTGTAGCCTCATTTTGGATGAAAGAGCCACTCAAGGTTCATGTTCAGGCTTTGCCTTGGGTTATGTGAAGGTTTGTAACCATGGTTAGAATTACTTTGACTCCAGAAAGTCAGTCTGTGTCCATTAGAGACTTTACAGAGCTGGGAACTGAAGAGTCTCAGGCAAATCTAGTCAAAGTGCTTCCTTTTTACAGGTGATAAAAGTAAACTGAAGTTAACACTCTTCTCCAAATTGCATGTCTGGTCAGAAGAGATATTTCCACAAGGACCCTGTTTCAGTGACATGAACTCCTCAAAGTTGTCCTCCTCTAGAATTTTAGTTTCTATCCTCTACTTGTTCCCCACCCCATCCTCATCTCCAAGCAAGGGTTTATCTTGGTTTCTCTCTTTGGACTTCAGCAAAACAACTGTTCTACCGTGACTTCTCCAGGAAACGCCTTCAGATGAGTAAACCACAAACACGTAGTAACGACAGTTTTCAATAATACAAACCTCAGGATGGAACCAAAATTGCTGTAGCGTGGGAAATAGTAAGTTTTTGGCAGGCCCAGAAGGAAAAAAATATTAGTTTTGCAGAGATTTACAACAAAACACTATTCTCGTGCCCTACTTTCTCTAAATGTGTTTTCAGATCACAGAACTTGACATTTCTGCTGGAATCTGAGTTGACCTTCTTACCGAAAGAAAGAAATGTCAAGGACAGCTGTATGTGAGTTACCGTTCTATCTCTATTTTCAAATTTTTTTGTTCAAGTCACCATCTTCCACCATACTCCACGCTTACGTTTTTTTCAAAATAAGGATTGAGTAAAAAGAAGGGCCAATTATGAGAAAGTGACACGCACACAAAATGTGAGGAGTGGAGGAGGAAGGAGAACGACTTCAGTGAGGTAGTAAGCTGATAGCACACCCGTGAGTAAGACAAGAACACGCAGTGGGCCCACACTGAGCCCAAGTAACTAACTCCCTTTATGAACCAGAGGTGTCTGCCCCGACCCCAGATTTCTATTCACGTGCAATATGTATAGCCTAGAAAATGTAGGTGTTTGCTCCACCTTTGAGATTACTTTTGAAAAATTACAAATTGAAAAGTCGAAAGAATAGTAGAGCAAGTATCAGTCCATGTTTCACCTAGATTCGCCAGTTGTTCACAGTTTGCCACTTTTGCTTTCATCCACTCTCACTCTTTCTCTTTGTCCTTTACTCCTTCTCTATAAATAGATAAATATAGACAGACACACATACACACGTGTATACACACACATCTGTAACTGAAAGTTACAGACACATCATCAAACTTCATCCCTAAATACTTCAGAGCACATGCAGGAAACCATCTTTTAATAAACCGAGAACAACTAGGTAAATGATAGATAGCCCCAGCATTGACTCTGCAAGCATTTAAAAGAGAGAAAAATTACATCATATACTTGAATATATCTGGATTGAATTGATACAGAAGATTAAACTTCTCTATATTTCTGTCCTAATCTTGTTCCCAGAAGTTTTTGGGCAGTAGTCCCATCTCTGAGTCAAGTGACACAGTCATCCAAAAAACAAAAACAAGTGCAGGTGTTGAATATTAATAAAGTCAAAGAGCTATCAGACCTGACACTACCACTTAGTCAACTCCAGGGTATAAAATGAATTCCTAAGAATCCAATATGTTTCATGTACATCTTAGAAAACCACCTGAAACTGGTGAGGAAATAAACATTAAACTTGAAATTATCCTTCAATTTAAAGGTAAAGCAATTTTTGAAAAGCATTTTTAACTAAGTCTCAGGAAATCACTGAATTGTAAGAGTATGAAGGATAGGTAAGTTCCTCCAGGCTCAGAAACAGGGAAATACATGACTAGATTTAGGGCAGCTTTTATTGACAAATGTACCGGTTCAAAAGAGAACTCTTGATGGATTGTCCACACACATTATTTTTGTTCTATAGAAAAGAGAAAAGCTGATTTTTTTTACCCCAGAATTAAGGAAAGTTAGCTGCAGTGTTACATGCTGAGCCCATTTCTGGTCTGCATGGCAATGTCACAATGACCGCTGGAGACATCTTTGGCACTGGCCTCCTGCTCCTGACGGGGTTCAGGG